AATTAATGACTTGTTATTAAAAGACTCGTTTACCTGACTAGATGCGCATGGTGCTATTTGTTGAGCATTATTTACATATATATGGTTCAACTATTTTTTCCAATCATTCTCTTAAATTCAGATCTGATAAACATTTGCCATCTTTAAAATACTTATATACGTGCGCACCTTCCTCTTAAATAGTACAATATGAACCTTTGGTGTTCTCCGAAAGCATGTGGAATAATATTTTCTAAAGCAATTTTCACCTTTAGCTCATCTCCTTTATTTTGTTTAATTGCTATAATAAAAGTTTTCGAAAAAGATTCTCTGAGTGACGCATTTAATTTCATTTCATACAATTTAGAATTAAAAGTTTTTGCAACATGGTTCAAGTCAGACCATTTTGTAATTGTGTAAGGTGAAAGCCGCCTCAGAGCTGCAAAGGCAGATGAGTCATCATCACCGATTAGTGTCGTGATTTGGCATCGTTTTTTGACTAGATCTTCATTCTTCAATACTAGCTCTACAACCATATCTGCCTCCATTGCTTTCGAAGAAGCATTGTGATTCTTCTTGCAATCATGACTTTTGGACTCATTTACTTTACACTGTTTACAGTATATATTGCGACAAGTAAAAGCTATACCTTTTTTATTAAAAAATCCAATTAATGACGAGTGACCTGCATAGTTATGTTATTGTTTAATAAATCAGTACTTGAAAGCTCGAGAATTAAAAAAAAAGTTTGCTTTTATACCACTACAACTATTATTTTGGCGGGATCTTTTTGTCCATGCAGCATCGTAGGAAGCAGTTAATTTCGTGATTACTTCATTTTCATCTTTAACTGTCAAACCACTACGAAGGGAAAAAAATGATGAATGATGGGCAGGTACAGGTTTAATAACAAGTACAAAATCAACATTATACACAAAGTTATGTTTTTGTATACTATCATATATTATACATCAAAATATAGTAAACGGAGTTTGGCAAATAATTTTCTTGTAAATAGTGTTCAAAGCATTTAAAAAATCACATTGATAAGTATTCAATAAATATTAAAAAAATTATTTGTGTAAAAATATAAATGTACAAAATTAATCACATATAATAACAGTGATCGAAGATTTTGCATAAAATGTTAGTGTAAATATTGTGTGAATAATGTGTAATAAATCTAGTTTGTAAATAAAATAATAAGTCGATTATTTACAAGTGTAAGGGTGTACAAAAATTCTCACTGGAATGACGAAGCTCAACGATTGTTTTAGTACGACAGGACTTACTTATTACTTTTGTGTGCAATGGTTGCCAATTTTTCATCTTCTAGGGCTGCAACGGTTGACTCCTTTGCTAAAGATTCAATTTTTTTACCTACGAATCTTTCACTACGTTTCAAGAATTTAGCATCATGAGTGTGACAATTCAAGGCTGATAAATAAGTGTTGATCTTCCTTGCACCAAGACCTGCATCAAGCATTCCTATAAATTTAAATACGCTGTTAAAAAATAGTGAATTTCAATATTGAGTATTGCATCTAACGTTGTATGCTCACCAATAGCTGATTTTAAGTTAGTATCATAGTGAACACGGTTTGATCTCTTTCCAGTGTCTACTTCCACAATAATATCACAAAAATGGCATTTTATGTACCATTTGCTGACTATTCCTTGGAACTTTTCATGAACCAAATGTCGAAGGGACAACGGCTTGTCACAAGACTTACACCATAAATTTTCTGCCACTGTCTTCTTTTCAATAATTTTTCGACCTTCTAAGAGTGTTTTCGACTGTTCATTAGAAACCTGTATACAAAAACACGAATTTAACAATTTTTTATTTTGTAATTACAATGTTTAATCAAAAAATATTTTGCATTTTCCAATGTTTACAAATTGTACACTAACCTTACTTTTCAAATGTATACGCCTTCCCTGTTTCCTGGCTGTATTTACCAATAGTTTTGCTGTGTTCTCTTTTTCTATTCTTTTAATGAACTTTCCTTTCTTCTTACCCACAACTCCGTGTTCTCTCTGAGACATTTTCACTTAATCTATGCTGACATGAATACACGAGGACGACGACAGATCGGACAGGTTTCAGTCCAACACAAGTGTAGATATAACAGCAGAATAGACAAGAGTGCGGTGTTGCCAGTTTAACAGTGGCAAGGCTGTCAACTGTATACACGGTACCTCGGGAAAACTAATAAATTTTTTAATACCGATTTTCCCAATGACTTTTCCGCGTATTATTGCTATTTTGTTCACACATGTGTATA